GCACTAACCATGAGGCCACCGCGCCTCCCTTAAATTACTGTACCTCCTTTCAAATACAACTCAGCATTTCGCATTTTCATCCGCAAGCTTTGAGCTATTTGTTTCGTAATTTTCATTTAAAAAGTGCACGTCTTCGTAGACTACAATGCTGCCGGATTCCTTTTAGATCCTTATTTTCAAAGCAAACTAAAAGTTGAATCTTGAAGGGATCGACCTTCCCTCGAAGGCCACTCGAAACCGAAAGTTTAGCTTGACGCCTCTCCGCCGCCCCTCGTTTGGCGGGACGCTGCGCGGGGTCTCGCTGTTGTGAGTAGTATATAGGGGATTAACCAAATACTGTTTGAATGGGGGAGCGAGTTTGGGCTTATTGCTGCCCCCACCGTCAAGTCCAGCGGGGCGGTGGGGGCAGCAATAAGCCCAAATGAGCTCCCCCATTCAAAACGGTATTTGGTTAATCCCCTATATACTACTTTTTTAGAGCGCCGGCAATATGTGCTATTTTCCCAGTTTCGGCAGGCATCCAACTTGTGTCGAGAGGACCGAACTTCAATTAATCCTAGAAAAATTCGATTAGAATTTTTAATCAAATAAAACTCATTTTAGTGATTGAATAGGTAAGGGCTTCGAAATCCCAGCTCATGCGAAAAATCGAATTTTCGAAGCAAAATCAGTGGTCGGTTTTTGCAGAGACAGCCTCTTAAAATATTAAGCTAGTAGTCGTAAATCTGTACGAACTATTATTTCCAATTATTAGAACACACTCGGTACTTTCGTTTAGGAATCGCTTTGCTGTCTCAAACATTAAAGACTCTCTGTCGACCGACATGTACTGCGCGCGTCACCCGAGGTTTCGAAACCTACAATTTGTTGTTGTCGATGGTTTCGCTCTTCAATCATTTATAATCCGAAGCATCCGTCTGGATTATTAGTAATTCATTGTCTTTAACAGTAAGATTCAATATCACTCTTAAAATTGAGGAGAACATTTGGTAGAAAATTGTCTGTTTGTGACATATTTGAGAAGCTAAACAACGGCCCGTACGATGTGATTCGGTGGAAGGTTTAGACAACAGAGACTCTGATCTTCAAGAGAATTATCGGAGGAAATATGTCCAGAATCGGTGGAGGAACAGTTATGATGCACTCGGATACAAGAAAAAACTATTGCTCACGTCTGCTGTAGTAAGGCTAGTGACAATGAATTGATTTTATTTTCTTTCGCATTTCAGCGTTCTGAAAAGACTATCGCATGGCCTGTCGATTAATCCAGTTTTAGGTTAACTAAGGCGAGATTTCTTGAAATTATATTGATGAAACTAAGCCCTTTCTCCGCTCTGTTTTTTTCCTTGAGAAGAAAACTTTTCTAGTAAAATGGGCAAACTGAAAACGTTTAAGTATCCGTACGAGACCGGTTATCGATCAAAACACTGTAGGGATTCTAAATCTCCAACGAAAAATGAAATAGTATTTATCGCTCTTATTCTGCATCACGACTAAGGCAGTACTCTAAACGAGGAAAGAATTGTAGATTCTGTATATATACGTTTGTGAAAGAAAATAAAAAAAAATAAAATTTAATTTATGGAATTGTTTCAGTTCTCGGCGTGGCGCCTATGGCGGCGTGAACTTTGTAGCTGACATTTGTCACTGTAGTATTCCTAGAAGTCACTAAGGTCAATAACTCGAGCAACACAAAGCCGCACTTCAAACTCACGCTCGTACACACATGCACACACACTCGCTAGGTCATCTGACCACTGTTCATAGTCCCGGATGTCCACAGGACACCATATTCACCTCGCGACGCGAGGTCAGAATTTCAAAATACGTTCAAAGCTCTTAGCCAAAAGGCATCAAAAGCAAACATATTACATCTGTTTTTACCAGTAATTTAAATTTGAGGCCGCCAAATGCCCAAAATCCTTTCGATTTTTCTAGAAGTTTCTTCAGCGACAGAGTCAAAACAAAAACAAACGCTCGCAAAGCATTCAGGTCGACAAAGAGTCTTTAATTAAGGGGCTACTGGTTTATCAGCTTTTCTGTAATGTGATGCCCACAACGACCAAAGTTTGTTGGTTGCTCTGCTTGCTTAAGGCGGGGGTCTACCTGGATTTAAGTGACGTTTTAGGAAGTTCAAAGAGGGACTAAAAGGAAAAAAAGTTTTGGAACACCACCAGACAGTTGAACGCCCCCCGAAAGGGTACCCTAGGTTGGTGGACAACTGTTTGGTGTACGTCTACCAATTTTTAACTTCACATTCTAACTTTAAAACAACATCAAATCATCAAAATTTCCTATTTCCATAAATGATTTTACTAATCCTTTGGGAAAAACTATTTATCCCCAAATATACCCCAAAATCACCAAAAAAAATTTACAAAACGTAGATATGCGGGATGAGCAGAGATATTTTTGACTGCTTGAAACGTGAACGAGATATTTGCGCTAAAACCATAATACCCAGCCAAAATACGGCCTTCATGTTAACCCCCGTCTTAATATGCTAGTAGAACATTCTCACCAGCACATCTAAAACCCTGGAGAAAGAAAATTACTTTTGATCGTCATGATCGATCAGATTAGATATACACAATATGTCATATTTCTGACATGTAACCTTTACATGCTGTAAAATGAAATGAGTGTCATTACATAGTGCTTTGATGTGTAGTTTGGTGAACAGTGGCCATGCATCAAAAATGGTTTTCAAAGATTCCCCAAAGTGTGTGTAACATACAAACTTCAGTGTGACAGCAGAAGCATATCACCTCTAGGTGATATGATTCTGGTGACAGTCATTAATTAAATAGTCCACGCAATCCAGTAGAGCGACTAGCTAGATAAAAGAAGAAATCAGTCAGAAAGTATGTGATTCATAGGCTACTAGAGACGCCTCAGATGTGGTTTCTGATTGTACAGTTATTGTATTGCCTTCATTTTATCGCCACTATTGGAGTTATTGTTGATCTTGAATATCCCGCTGCCAATACAGCCTCCAAGCAAAGACAAAATAATACCAGTAGTCGCATCCCAACGTAGCCAGAAAAAACAGATCACGCCAATGCATCCAGCCACACCAATTCCTATCAGGGCACCCGGGTCAAAACTTGACGCCCGGTTGCAGAAGTATTCGAAGGCGCAGTAGGTCAAGCCGCAGACAAAGGTAATGTATATGACCGTGATAAGGAGGTCTGCTGTGCTCAGGAACATTTCGTCTATGCTCTGTTGGCTCTGTAACATAAAGTGGAAAATGCAAAACACATGAGGCAGTGCAATTCCAAAGTTACCATCATCAGGGCTCACCAGGGTATTGGTTATGGTCATGACATTTCTCACATTCAGGATCGCCTCTTCGACCACTTAAGATGTGTGTCATGTGTCTCTTAGGTACCGTTACAATAATAATAATAATAATAATTATTATTATTATTATTATTATTATTATTATTATTATTACATGAATACATGATCACCTGCCCATTACAACAGTGAGCTATAAAACAATTTAAAACTAAAAAAGTATACCGATAATAATGTAAAATGAGCTCAAAACTATCTCAATTTTGTTCAAATCTATTTTATGTGCTATTTTTATCCAACTCTTTTGTATTTTTTTTTTTACTATTTTTCTGGAATACTTTAAATCAAGTTTTAAATCTATTATTTTGAAACAAAAAATGGCAAAAAAATAGTCAAAGAGTGCTAGTCAAAACTTCTGTAACTTAGCTTTAAAATAGCTCTAAAGTATATGAATGAAAAAAGTTGAAAATAAAATAGGTTGAAAATAGCCTTAAAATAGACATAAGATAGAGGTAAATAGACATAAAATTGGGTCAAATAGGAGAAAAACCTTGGAAAATAGGCTGAAAATAACATAAAACAGGGATAAAATAGTTTTAAGGTAGACGCCCTTCTCTTAAACATATTTTATCCCTGTCCAGAAAGATCATAAAAAATAGGAGCACGTGATCCGAAACGATTGACCGCGGGGAAATATTAAGGTTCAGGAACTAGGCAATCCAATACTCACCACTTGTTCAAGTCGTGAAGGCTATGATTCAAGTCGTTCAAGTGGTACGTACGACTCGTTAGAGGCGTAAAATAGAGCTTACAATTGGTACCATTGGTTTAAGTGATGAATGTGGTACGTTTCAGTGAAAAAAAAACACACTTTGGAACTTTGCATGTCATTGCTACGATTATCAGTTGAGTAAGGCGCGACGGAAGTTTGGTAACCAGGTTTTAACCTTTAAATCGTGTTGTTGCCACGGGCAACTGGCCCCGCTTCCAGTGGCAACTTAATTGTTACGTTGGCCTTTGACGTCATTAGCAACAAAGCGCGCGAAACTTTAGGCGACGATATTGTTACCATTGGAAACGAGGAAAGTTGTCCTTGAAAACACCGTAATTTTAAGGCCAAAACTTCCTCACCGAAAGTCCGTCGAGCTTTACTCAACTGATAATCATAGTATGGACACTTAGAATATTTCAGCCCAAGTTTAAGGTAGGGACCTTGTCAACTTGCACTACTCGTACAACTCGTGCAACCGGTGAACTGTATCTCATTATGGACACTTAGAATACTGATTTCAACTCAGGTTTAAGGTACGGGCCTTGTGAACTCTTACGACTCGTACAACTAGTGCAACGGGTGAAATTGCATCTCATTATAGACACTTAGAATATTTCAACCCATGTTTAAGGAAGGGGCCTTGCCAACTCGTATGACTCGTGCAACTGGTGAAATTGCATCTCAGAGAATGGGCCTTGTCAATTCGTACGACTTGTACGACTCGCGCAACTGGTTAATTAAACGACGTCTCATTATGGAAGGAGTCTCGCTAACTCGTTTGATTCTTTTCAAGTCGAGCAACTAAAGAACGTTGTTTCACTTGAGTCGCTTCATTTTATACTTTCTATTTTTTTTTTTTATTGTTGTTGACCATAAACTCAATCAAACGTCTACATTTCGCGTGTTTTTTTTAATTCTTCTCGATAGAGAACATAAGCGAACATAAGCATAAGCATAAGCATTCGAACATAAGCGAAGATACGATAGTGTGAGTCGAAATTGTTGCAGAATGCAAGGAAGATGTCATTGTTGGAGGCTGCAGCACTACAGCAAGCTTAGAAGAGAGTATTCCCCTTCATTCATTATCTCGATGACACACGTCTTGAAACAAGAAAAAGACGAAAGAAGTGGGCTGATCTGGGCGAAGTCATATCGAAAGAGGGAGGCATCAAGGATTTCGATCTCGGTTTCACCGCTGCTGTAAAAAGGTCTTTTAAAACCTAGAGATTTTCATGGCCTGTTCATTCTACTCTGGCTTCTAGTGGGAAGCTCCACATTGTCAAGGTAGATCAGGCACGAATTTGGGATAAGCCGGTAGCCTTCTAACTAGTGAATTCAAACGATTCCCCGAGTCCCAGACCAAAATAATGCGGAAATCATAATACGGCAAATTAGACGGATCGAGTTTTTTTGCCCTCGAAATAGACTTTCAGAAACAAATAGACAAAAACTTCGTCTTACAATGAGGCGATTAAGATTGCCGATGAACCAGCTATGTATTAGACTATTCGCAGCCCTCTATTTTCTCGTATTTTTTTCAATAATTGAATGCGCGAATAGAATCGCGAGAGAACTGGGCGCGAATGAAAAACGGGAGACTTTACAGGGGGAGCTCGGTTCCGGCGGGTATATTTTGCAGGTTGCAGGTTGCAGGTTGAAATTTAATTATAACTGGAAAACCGCTGGCACTAAAAATAATTAATAACCTATATACTCGTCAGGGGTTCTTATATAAAGTAGTTCGCCTCCTTCACATAGTGAAAACACGATCGATTCGCGCTATAAGTACTTATCGATCGACAAGCTGAGACCAGTGAAATCTCTTCAAAGCCATCTGGATGGCCGCTCCACAGACGTTTCCATCGATTCCAGATTTGGCCCGGGTCCTCAACAACAGAAGATTGCCATCACAAATGAAGTAAATAAATAAAGAAATAAAATAATATAAGATTTTAACCGACGGAATATACTAGCAAAAGCTCAGTGTGCTTTCAGTTTGGTACTCACAGGGAAGAAACCAAATTCAGCAGATATTTCAGATGATATTTCAGATGTTTCTTCAAAAACAATAATTCATTGCAGGTTTAAAATCAT